GCACATGAGAGTACATACTGGAGTGTCATATGTGTGGGAAGGCCTTCTTCTCCAGGAATGGTCTTATTTGACATGTGAGAATTTATACTGGAGAGAGATCTTACGAATGTCACTAGTGTTGCAAGGCCTTTACCCAGAGAGGATCCCTGACTCGACATAAGAGAATTCATACTGGATAGTAACCTTAAGAGTCTTATATATCATCAAGTCTCTCTTCAACTAAACAAATAGTTATTAAGCATCTATGATGCACAAGGCACTGTTCTAAGCCCTCAGGTATACAATGATAAACATGAAAATCATTGCCTTCAAAATAGAAGTAAAAAAAAAGAAAAAGAAATGCAAATATGATAAATGTGAGAATATCTTCTATTGGAGCCTGTAGTATACGGGCTAGTAAAAAATAATTCACACAGGGGAGGTGCTGTATGCATGTAATGGACATAAGAAAGATTTCATTAAGAACATAGAATTTCAGAGGTAAGAGGGGCCTCTGTAGCGATCTAGGTCAACCTGTATGTGAAAAAGAATTCTGTCTGTACCCTCCTTGAGAAATGGTCATCTAGGCCTTGTTTTTAAGATAGCCAGTGAGAGGGGAAATGCACTCCTTGACAAGACAGCTTATTCTAGTCTGGGATAGCTCCAAGCATCAGGAATTTTTTTCCTTTCATTCAGTGTCCATTTGTCTTTCCTCCTTCAACCAATTACTCTTTCTTTGGCCACCAAACAGAAAAAGTCTAATTGCTTTTACATGTGACAGTCCTTTAAATACTTGAAGACAGCCATTGTTTCTTCCTAGGGCCTTCTCTTTTCCAGGCCTAACACTCCAATTCTTTAACAACTCCTTCTGTATCATTAACTTAAGACCGTTACCTGACCTACTCAACCTACTTTACCTTCTTTTTCATGCAATCACAAAAAAAGAAGAGTCAAGCTAATAGGAAACCTCATGGATTAAATTATCCCCTAGCTACTTTCCCTCAACATTTCTTCCAAATTCTCTATTGTCATTTGACCACAAAAGAAGGAAAGTTTGATTTTCATTTCTAAATAAGAATTAGAGAGGTATTACAATTTAACTTTACAAAAGAATGTCCCAGGTCACACAATCAAGAACATGGTGTATTAGATATTTCTTTCAGTCCTCACTAACTCACAAAAGAAAAATTGTGCACTATATGAGCTGATTCCACAGGAGAAAAAAGATCCCTGACAAGGTAAAGTCCTTATGAATTAACATCAGAGAATACCAATCTTTAAAACTTTCATTGAGTACCTCATTTTGACTAGCCTTCAAATTTTGCAAAGCTTTGGAGTCCACAAATGTAACAACAAGGTGATATCCCACTTTACCCTCACAAGAATGGATTTTTCATCTTCAAAAATCTAATCAATTATTTGGGAAATACCAGAGATTTATTAAATAGATAATTAGTCAATCAACAAATAAACATTTATCAAGCACCTACTATGTTCCAGGCACTGTACTAAGAGTTTGGTATACAAAAAGAGGCAAAAGAAAGTCCTTGCTTTCAAAGAGCTTGCAATCAAATATAGGATATAACATAAAAAAAAATTATACACACACACACACACGCATACACATTCACACACAGAACAAGGTATATAAAGGACATATAGGAAATAATTAACAGAAAGAAGGCAATAGAATGAAGAGGTGTTGGGGAAAGCTTCCAGTAAAAGATGGGATTATAGTTTGGACTTAAAGGAAGTCAGAGCTATCAGAAGGTGGAGCTAAGGGGGGAGAGCTTTTGATAAATGGGAGATAGCCAGAGAAAATGCCTGGAGCCAAAGGATGGAATGACTTGTTTGTGGAACAGCCAGGAGGCCAATGTAACTGGATCAAAGAGTATGTGTTGGGGAGCAAAATGTAAGAAAATTGGAAAAGTAGCAGGTAGGCAGGTTATGAAGGACTTTGAACTCCAAACAGCATTTTGTATTTTCTCCTGGATGTAGATAGATAGATAAGAAAGAAAGAAAGAAAGAAAGAAAGAAAGAAAGAAAGAAAGAAAGAAAGAAAGAAAGAAAGAAAGAAAGAAAGATGAACTACATGTTTAGATACTTGATTATTATTATTTAAAACTTGTATCTATAAAAAATATATTATAAGAAAAAAAACATATTGACTGAGACACAACAATGATATGCCAAAAAGTCATGTAAATGTAAATAGCAACTCATTATTTATTCAGTAATTGATGAATCAGCTGTCTAATTTGGAGTAAAGAAACTTGATTTCAAATCCTGTCTCAGGCTAGCTATGTGACTCTGAGCAAGTCACTTAAACTCTTTGTACCTCAGTTTCCTCATCTGTAATAAATGGATCAGAATAACACCTACCTTCTAGCATTTAGTGAGCATCAATTGAAATGACATATAAAATGCTTTGCAAAATTTAAAGTGCTATATACATACTAACCATTATTATTTTCATTATTATGACAAAACCTTGGATTCAGTTCTGCACTCATGGTTTGTATGCTGTAGATATATAAAATGGATGTAATTATACTGATAAAATATAGTATTTGAATATTATTTGATGTCCACATGTAAAATTATTCTTTAGTTATAGTAAATACAACATGAAAACAAGATATCAAAAAAAATGTAAATAAAATGGCATCTTTCAAGGAGGAAATTTGTATCTAATGGTTCTTCTTACCCTTAAACCCATTTTCATCTTTTTAAAATAGAATTCTGTGGAGTATATCCAAACTCAAGAGGAAGTGATATTAAAAAAATATTACTAATCACTTGATATACACAGATGACATAAAGTTAATCATTCTGCTGAACTCACATTAAATAGTTTCAATCTTGTATAATCTTTCTCCAATGAAATCAAAATGTCATTTGGGCAAGATGACTGTATAATTATTTTTATAAGAAAAATTCCTTTTGTTTAATTATTTACTTCACAAAACTGTACCCAAAAAACAAAAGGGCTTTGCTCTCTTCAGGGTGAAGAGTGACTTTGCAAGTGTTTTTAGTTTGGTTGGTTTTCTTCCCAGAAGAAAATTACAGTCACAAAATCATTGTTGGAAGGACAAGAGGGTTGATGGTTATCATATCATTATTATCATCCCAAGACCTCTTATTTTTTCCCTCGTGTGGGACGTAAATCAATACTAAGCAGCCTTTTTAAAAGATCATTACAAAATAAATAACCTAGGTCTCATCACTTAAAATATAATTTTATACCATTACTGCCACCAGCTGTCCCTATTTTTCTTTCTGTCCTTCTAGTCCAATCAGATTTTCACTGCCATTTGCAAAATGAAGGCTATAAACTGACATATGAATTGTTTCAGTGAACAAATTTTGTGAAGTGCTTTCTGTTTTAGCACTTTCAGTTTTTCATGTTTTGTCCTCTTCTTGACATTCCACTTTCCTAGATTTTAGGAAAGCTCTCTCTGTATAGTTTGCATTTAAATGTGCCAATGCCTATACATTAACAAGAATTAAAAATAAAATAAAATAAAATAAAATAAAATTGTACAAACACCCATTTTGTTAGTCCATTTTTAAGAATCCAAATACTTACAACATATATTACAACTGAGCCACTAATCTTGTAGCATCATCCACACTAATTGTTTCACCTTCAGAGCACTGAGAAATCAGGTGCTTTGGCAATGGTTCAAGTGACAGCCTATTTGAGAAGTGTGAAAGCTCTTTTTGGATATCTACGAATGCCTTATATACAATTCTAACTTCTTCTTCATTCACAATATTTATCTTAAGATTTGTGGTGACTGGTTTTGCTTTATTTTTAGATTTCAAATTTCTGCTGGCAATATAAATTACATTCTTGACCTTCTGCCCTTTCCTGTTGTTCTTTCGCATTGTGTGGCTGGTGCTTGTTTGCTGATCATCCAAAAACAAGATAGTCTTAATGCTCCACTTTCCATGTACACTGGACTCCAATGGTTATCTTAGTCAGTTTGACAAAGTGGCAATTCCAGCAAATATGGCGTAAGCCTGCCCTGCGTCCTCAGCTGAGGATTAAAATCCGTCTGGGCAGTGAGTTTCGGGGGACAGTGGGGTGGAGGAAGATTCAGTCACCCTTGGTGCTTTGACCATCCAAGAAAGCTGCGCGTAACGCGGTGTTGAAATGTTTGCTGCAACACTTTGGAGAAATTTGCTAGCCTGGCCCTGGTTTCTTTGTAGAGGCAGGAAAGCTGGACAGGAGCCTCAGTTTCTTCCTGTGAAAATGTTGCATTTGTAGGGGCCATTCGAGCTCCAAACCCCACCACCCCAGCAGCGGTGTGGGCACAGTCGCTGCTTCTGAGGCCTGGCTCATGGGGGTTGGGGGGGGGGACGTTTCCTGGAGCCCAAGTTCCCGCGGCAGTTCGAGCCCGCCCCTGCTCCCAGCTGATGCCATCAGCCCCTCCCCTCACTGACCCTAAAGTCGTGTCCTGGGGACTATAGTTCTTTTCTTAATGTGCATCTCGGATGAATAGGGACTAGAGACTTAGAGATTTAATGTGAAGGTAAAATTGAACCAATGTATAAACATGGTACAAACACGTTGATCTTCTTCAGGTAAAATCAAGAATAAAGTTATCAAAGTGAGAGCAGTGTGTACACGTGTCCAGAGACTTACTATCATGCTAAAATCAGTGATCAAGAGGAGAAACATTTAAATCCATTGGCACCTGTGCAATAATAGTTTTAACACAGACTTTAAGACCTGAAAAACTGGCACAACAACTTTGGAAAGTATCCTAACAAAAATCCAGAAAATGTAAGCAAAAGACAACTCCCATTACGCAAAGGAAGCTAAGGGGAAAAAAAAATAACAGTTGCTTATCAAAAAGGAGGAAGAGGATGTGATGAATAAGTTAAAATTAGAGAAATACTTATCAAAAAAACAAATGATTTGACACAGCAATATCCCAGAATGCCAATAATTATTCCATCTGATATTGGGTTTGTTTCACCTAACTGAATGTGATATACCTCTGGATTGAGCCTGCAAAACAGCCAGTATCCAAGAAAGGAATCAAAAGACCATCCATAAGTTGTATTCCTGTGAACTCAACCTATGCTATGCTGACTGAGAAGTATAGAACGAATGTCTAAGTCATGCAAATTTGCTTATAGAAATGGAGGGTTTTATAATAACAATTCAGAACCACACCAATTCCATCAGAAATTATAGATGAGTCATACTGAAGTAGTCTGGACATCTTGCTCAAAATAGCTTATGCAAAGAAATGAAAGAAACTATCAAACATAGCATTGCAGACTGCAAAAAAATGTAGTACCTATAAAATTCCTAGTGAGATACGACTTGGTAGCTAGAATTAGATGTCAGAAGTTGAGTCATTAAGAAAAGGAAAACCAAAAAAACCGAAGACAACAAACTTTAGAATTCAATAAATAAACTGAACTGGAACAAGGTCATTTATCACAGACCAACTGTGGTTGCCTACCATCACCAAAATGTAACAATGAACCAGAAAAATGTAACCACATCATTTTTGAGAGTTATTGACACACCCATAACTTCCAAACTAGGCAAAACAAAATAAAACAAATCTTTCAAACTATGGAGACCTGGTAAAAGATAATAAAAAATCATTGGAAGTATTCTTGTCCTCCTGTCTGTTATTGAAGGTGTCCCAAAGATGTTTTCAATGAACCTCTAGAAGTTGAGGCTACATTACTTTTATTCAGTTACAAAAAGTAGTCATTTTATCTACCTCAGTTACATTTCACAAAACATTAAATGTGAAGGAACAGTAGGATATCCACTTTAGCAAGAATGAGATTAATAATGATAATCATAACAATAATGGTATAAACATCACATTGGCAATGAATAGAGTATTGCTGTCCATATTCAAAGAAAATACTACTAGTATTTTTCTGGAATCTGTTTGAGTAGGTTTGTCGAGAAAGACTTATTGCTATGAAAATAATAGTTCTTTCTTCCAAGTCTGACATTATGAACAGGCAAACTATACAATTACTTTCAAGGAATGATTTTAGGGGAGCAGAAAAGGACTCCTTGAAATTCATTCATGAGCTATTCATTCCTTTGGATTTCAAATCTTTTGTCTTTAAGAATATCCTTTTAAAAAACACAAATATCCTTGGTAGAGTTAGTATACATTATGAATTTCCAAAGCTAGAAGAGTTCTTATGAATAATTTAGTCCAATATCCTTGTTTACAGTAAGGAAATTGAGACCCTTGGAGTCAAGGCAGTAGTTCAAGGTCATACAATAGCAGCCTAGTAGTTTTTCAAACTACTAAGAGTTGTTCTTCTGAATTCACATCTGACCTCAACCTCTTAATATTTGTGTGGCCCTGAGAAAGTCACTTAACCCTGTTTGTCTCAGTTTTCTCATCTGTAAAATGGAAAATATCCTAGACATAGAGTCAGAAGACTAGAGTTAGAGTTGTTACCCTTTTGCTCTCCATGTGACTTCCTCAAACTTTGATATTATAATATAATACATATAATATAGCATAACATTATATAGCATACTATAATAAAATATAGTATAATATGATATAACACAACATAACATAAATCTAATCTAATAAACATAACAATATAATCTAATAAATCTAATCTTATCTTTAGGGAAAGTCAGCATATCATAGTGGATAGAGAGCTGGCCTCAGAGTTATGAAGAACTTAGTCCAAGTACTGCCACTGACACATATTGACTGGGTAACTCTGGACAAGATACTTTCCGCTTGAGCGTGCCCAAGCAAATCTCTAGGAAAGACTGTAAATTATAGAGAAGGTGCTATCCTGCATTGGTTATAGAAGTTCCTTGCTGGTAGTTACTTCTGCTACAAAAATGGAAAATCTTTTCCCAATCCTTTTCTGCCTCTCCTATAAGAAAAAAAAAATTCCCAAAGATAAATATATTTGTACTGATTATCTTGCAGGGTTGTTGTGAGTAAAGTACTTTGAAACCTGGGAAGTGTTATATAATCATTGAGCCAACCTGAAAGAAAATCAGTCAAGCCAGAGAGGTGGGACATTTTCCAATCTCAGGATACTAAATCATGACATGACTGTAGTCACTACCCCCCAAAGGGTTAATACTCAATATTCTGCTTTTTACCTTAACCATGGAAAAGAATGCATAGGCATACTGAAATGTCAACATACCCTCCTGGAACAACTCCTCCCACTACTGGAAATCAGGTAGATTTCACAGAATCATAAATTTAGAGTTAGAAAGAACCTTAAAAATCACCTACTCCAATCTCCTCATTTTACAGATTAGAAAACTGAGACATAGAGAATTAAAAAACAAAAACAAACAAACAAACAAAAAAACAAACAAAAAAAACTTCCACAAGTTTCCACCAATAGTAGAACCAGGATTCAATCTCAGTTTGAATAATACCAAAAGTAATGCTCTTTTTACTAAATGATGATGCCCCACTGTGACTTCCCTTGATCTATCACATTCCTTAGGAAATTATCCTTGTGATATCTCATATGAATTTATTTAGAAGAATTGCTCATCAGAGATAGGAGAGCAGTCTTTGCACATTAAAGAGCAAAATGAAACTGTCAACAGAGGAATGAAAATAGAGCATTGGCATCATTGATTAATGTTGTAACCAACTAAACTAATCACTCCAAGATATATGTGTATTTGTGGACACTATTTGCAGCATCTATCATTTCTCCTTACCTGACTTCTTTTGCTATGTTAAACAGAATCCCTGAGTTTTTAAAAATGTTTTTGATTATGCATGTGTTCATGCATGTGTGCATGCATGCTTGTGTGTGTGTATTTTCATTTACTTGTAAACAACATTTTAAGGCATGTAATAAATGTTTTGAAAGTAATATGCAGACAATTTCTAAATCTTTAAATTCAATCCCAGTCCTTATCCTGAACTCTGGTCCCACATCATCAAATATGTGTTGAATACTACCATGTGAATATCTTAATAGACATCTCAAACTCAGCATAACCAATGAAGGAATCATTATATTTTCGCCTAAATATGCCACCTTTGTTAAACTTCCAGACCATTGGGCTTGGTGTCAAGAAGACCCAAGTTCAAATTGAGCCTCAGATACTTGCTAGTTCTGTGACACTGAGCCCATCACTTAACAGCTATTTACCTCTGTTTCCTTATCTGTAAAATGGGAATAACAATAGTACCTCCTTCCCATGGTTGTTGTGAGGATCAAATGAGGTAATAATTGTGAAGTGCTTAGGACAGTGCCTAGTATACAGTAAGCACTACATTAATGTTTGTTGTTATTTCAGTTCAGAGCACCAATACTGTTTTATTTAATTAGGTTCATATTTTTGAGGCCATTCTTGATTCTTTTCTCTCAATCAATAAGTATCAATTAAGTGCCCGCTCTGTATAAGGTACTGTTCTAGGCATTAGTAATATTAAGGCAAAAATAAGTAATCCCAGCTATCAAGGAGATGGCATTCTTTCATGTGGCCTCATATCTAGTTAATTGTCAAATTTTGTCAATTATATCTCTACAATATATCTTACAACATTCCACTCATCTTCTCTTACTCTTTTTTCTTCACCACTGCCTTAGCTCAGGTGTTTATGACTCTCACGTACACAACAGGACAGATTCCTCATTGGTCTCTTAGCTTCTAGTCTGTCCCCTCATCAATGCGTACTCTACATAAATGCCCCAAATGTTTTCTCAAGACACAGGCTCGACAATGTATCTTCTCTTCTCCAAAAACCTTCAGTGACTCATTAGAACTTCTAGAATAAACTCTTCAACCAATCATCCACATTCTTCTTCAGTCTAGCTCCAAACAAATTTTCCAGTGTGATTTCACACCATTCATTACTCTTCTTTAGTCACGCCGCAATACA